CACAAGATCTGCCTGGATCATCTCTGCTCCTATAATTCCCCGGCCATTGAAGATTTGGAACTCATTTTATTATATGGCAACTTTTATGGTGCCACCCAATTTTCTCCTCTCTTCAAGGATCTGCTAGGTGCACATTCTGGATGTTGCATCTCCAAATCTTCCTCCTCCTCCTCCTCCTCCTCCTCCTCCTCCTCCTCCTCCTCTTTCCTTCCTTCCTTCCTTCCTTCCTTCCTTCCTTCCTTCCTTCCTTCCTTCTTTGCAGTTTCACCATCTCTGTCAACTCCACTAATTTTACCATCCATTCTCCCATTGTAGAAATCTGTGAGAGCTTCCAACTCTGTGCACTGAAGTCTCATTGTTAATACATGTATCATTGTATCCCATCTGTTTATTCAATTTATTCTCCAGACCACCTGAGGACAGAATAAGAACAAAATGGAAGATCATTAAAGAGAGATCCAACCTAGACTAAGGTTGTTTCCTAACAATGAGAACAATTAACCAGTGGAACGGCTTGCCTCCAGAACTTGTGTGTGCTCCATCATGGGAGGTTTGGAAGAAGAGACTGGACAGCCACTTGTCTGGAAATTATAGGGTCTCCTTCTTGAGCAAAGGGTTGGATTAGAAGACCACTAAGCTCCCTTCCAACTCTGTTATTCTGTATTCTGAATACAGCAATGGATTTCAAATAGAGCCCTGGTGGCTCAGCAGACTAAAGCACTGTTATTAACATCAACTGCCTGCAATTACTGCAAGTTCAAATCCCACCAGGCTCAAGGTTGACTCAGCCTTCCATCCTTTCTAAGGTAGGTAAAATGAGGACCCAGATTGTGGGGGCAATAAGCTGACTTTGTATAAATATACAAAAGGATGAAGGCTATTGCTTAACGCATTGTAAGCCGCCCTGAGTCTCCGGAGAAGGGCGGCATATAAATCAAATTAAAAAAAAAAACAATGTCTCTTTGTGTGCAAAAAACGGAATGGCTAGTTCAGGATAGGAAGGGATCTTGCAGCACTGGACACGACCTCAGGAACCTCCAGCCCAAATGGAATTTTCCAGGCTAGAGCGCAAATATCCCAGGCATATCTAAGGTTCTCTCTTGGTTTTGTTTGCTGGCTGCTTCTAAATAGATGCCTGATTTGTTTTCTCTTCTGCATCCCTCCTCTTCTAAAGAAGGCAAAGGCTCATACGAAGTGGTTCATTGCTCTATTCACACAAGAAAGAGTTGCATACCGCAGGCCACGGTGGTAAGTAAGAATGATCGATGTTTTGGAAGCATTTGGAAGACCGGTGTCTTGTCATAGATCTTCTTTTCCACTAGATAGCGCTTTTGGAACATGAGAGAAATCTAATTTTCCCCCTTATAACTTCACCAAATTATTAGACTTTGCTAGTAAATAATAAAAATAGGCCTCAATTTACTGGTCTCCAGCAGCTTCATCTTTTGTAAACTTAAACATAGCCTACCTTATTAACCATCACTCAGAAATGAAAGTAGACAAAGAAGCCATTTGAATAGCGTAATTTCTTTCTTTTAAACAAAAAGTAATTTCATCATGACTTTTCCAGTACATCCATCAGTAGACCATTATTGCAGATTGTTGAATTTCCTGCTGTTATCAACACAACTAGCTGTTGTGAAAGAGCAAACCCTAAAAGTTTCTATGCAAATTAACTCAAAGTTGTTCAATATTGAAGAATATTATTTCCTAGCTTGCCTCACTTCTGCATTCTAGCTTTGACTTTTTTGTGGCTTCTCTTTTATGGAAAAATGCCCTCTCCTCTCCTCAACACTCCATTCATGTATTTTTTGTCTTAAAAGAAGAGAGAAGTTCAACTTTTCAGGGAAGAAAAATGATTATAACTATAGTGTCTTCCTTCACCTTCAATTTTAAAGATTTTTCTATTCTAATGTTTGTGCCAAGAAAATGTCATTCCAAATTGTTTACCATTTGAATGGAAAATTGCAACCACTCTTAACTTCATGGCATGATTTGAAAAATGTTTCATAACATAAAGCACACGGCAGGCTAGTGGAATGTACCGGTAGCTTGTTTCCCAAAGGGCAAAGAGGCGATGGAGCTTGGCATGTCTGGTAGGCAGGAAGAGGGCTAAGACAGCAGTTCACAGAGTAGATCTGTAGTTATGCAGATAGTTGCTTGAGTCTGGCAAGATTCTGTCTGTAGGCAAACAACTGTAAAGAAACTACTCAGAAGTAATTGCATGTGTTGGTTCTTGGGACCTGACGCTACCTTGCAAAATCCTATTTTAATATTCATCACCATATTTTCGATTCTTTCCCTTTCCCTATTTCTTTGTCGTTTCCATTTTTCACAGTAAACTAACAAAGCAAACAAACTAAAATGCAGGACAACTGGAAGCAGTGGAAAGAGCAACTGGCCGGCCAATTTATTTTTTTTTTAATTTGATTTATATGCCGCCCTTCTCCGGAGACTCAGGGCGGCTTACAATGCGTTAAGCAATAGCCTTCATCCTTTTGTATATTTTATACAAAGTCAGCTTATTGCCCCCACAAACTGGGTCCTCATTTCACCTACCTTAGAAAGGATGGAAGGCTGAGTCAACCTTGAGCCTTGGAGAGATTCGAACCAGCAGAAATTGCAGGCAGCTGTGTTAATAACAGGGTGCACTAAACCCCTGTACTATCAAGGCTATCAATTACAGAAAAGCAGACAAGGTGAGAATAAGAATGATGCTGTAATTTTCCAACTCCTGCCTGTCTGTTGCTGATGTTGGCTCACAAGCTCCAAATACTGTCAGCAAACTATCTGACTTGAGTCTCACCAGTCTGAGAAAGGGAGGGAGGGAGAGTTAGAAACAGAGGACCTCGATGACACCCAAGGAACTGATGGGCAATGAATGAATGAATGAATCTATTAATGTACATGATTTGTAGAGCCACTCATCTCAAGTGACTCTGCACATCTTACAAGATTAAAACAAACACACCCACCAACGATAATCACCCAGCATTCTAGGACAGACCATAGACCTGTCTCACCAACATAGAATCATGGGGTGGAAGGGACCTTGGAGGTTTAAAATAGAATAGAATAACAGACTTGGAAGGGACCTTGGAGGTCATCTAGTCATCTACTGGTACCGACCAGTACGCTCCCATAGAGAGGGGCTCCTCAGGGTGCTGTCGGCCAAACAGTGTCGACTGGCGGCCCCCAGGGGGAGAGCCTTCTCTGTGGGGGCACCTACCATCTGGAACGAGCTCCCCCCAGAGATACAGAAGATCCCGGACCTGCGCACGTTTCGCCGTGCTCTCAAAACTTTTCTATTTCAGCAAGCTGGCCTGGCCTAACTCCCATCTTTTAAATTTTTAAATTTTTTAATTCGTGATTTTACAAATTGGGTGTTTTAATCTGTGTTTCGGCCGAAATATTTAATAATTTTAAGGGATTTTTTAATATTTGTATTATCTGTATTTTATCTTGGCTGTTCACCGCCCTGAGTCCTTCGGGAGTAGGGCGGTATAGAAATTTGATTAATAAATAAATAAATAAATAAATAAATAAATAGTCTAATCCCCTGCTCAAGCAGGAGAGTACTCTTAGTCTAACTCCCGGCACATGGCAGGAGATCTTATACCATTCTGGACAAATCGTTCTCCAGTCTATTCTTGAAAAACTCCAGGGATGGAGCATTCTCCTTTACTTCCAGGCTGGATGACTCTGACAAGATTATCAACCTCCTGACTCGAATGCTTGGGGAAACAACCATGTCTTCAATGTTTTGTGAGATGCTAATAGTTTTGTCCCAACGATGCTTTTTTCAAGAGGCAACTGAACTCAAAAAGAGACATGACACCTAGATTTGAAGTCCGCCCCCCCTGCAGTCACATAATTACGTTTTGAGTGTTCAGCAATTGGCCTGCATTTGAATCAGCATCACAGAAGTCTGGAAGGGACCTTGGAGGTCTTCTAGTCCAGCCCCCTGCCCAAGCCAAGTGATCTTATACCAGTGATGGCTAACCTTTTGGCCATTGCGTGCCAAAAGCGGGGGGAGCACGTGGGGTTGCCCTCGCGCGTGCCCACACCCATAATTCTATGCGCCCCACCTCCCTTGCACATGCGCGCATGACACCCCCCCCGCTTTTGGCATGTGATGGCCCGGTGGGCCCGGTAGGCCCATTTTTCGCCCTCCCCAGGCTCCAGAGACTTTCTAGGAGTCTGGGGAGGGCAAAAGCAGCCTTCCCAACCCCCCAGAGGCCCTCTAGAGCTGGAAATGGCCTGTTTCCAGTGGGCCCAGAAGGCCTGAAAAATCAGCTGGCGGAGCTGAGCTCGCGTGCCCACCAATATGGCTCCACGTGCCACCTGTGGCACGCGTGCCATAGGTTCGCCATCACGGTCTTATACCATCCCAGACAATCACGTGACTGCAATTGATAATGTTCATTTGCTGAAGAAACACTTTTATGTTGGATTTCTGGCCAAAAAAAAAAATGCCTATTGTGATAATGGGTTCACTTCACAATTGCTGTGTTCGCTTAATGACAGCTGCATTCTCTTTATGACTGCCACAAAAATGTTAAATCAGGTCGGTCATGTGGGTGTCTTGACTTACGACCATCATGACACAGGACAGAAATTCCCATGCTCCATTACAATCATAACTCAAGGACTACCTGTATCTCTTTTGGTGTCATCCAGTGGTCATTGAGATGTTAACAATAAGTTGCAGCTGTTTGTAATCTGTGGCAACAGGCCATCTTTGCACATGATATTTTAGCAAGAACACAAGACCAGGTTTTAGTTCAAGGAGCTTATCGCCTTCAGGTTTGACACAGGCTGAACAACAGCCAGAGAGGACAGAATTGAGGAAACATAATTTCCGCCTCTCCTGGTCCAAAAAGATAAAACTTTCCTCAAATAGAGCTCAACTTCTGTGGCCCCAGAGTCACATCCACAGAGGGCTTTTTGGACAAATACGGAAGGGATTTGTTATTGTCTTCTTCTGGGTTGTTTTTCAGTTTTGTACGTCCCTGGGATTTTGTGATAGCTGCTCATCCAGAATTTCACCATATCCAATTTAACTAGAGAAAAGAAGGACTTGGGGTGACATGATGGCAGGATCCCAGTATTTGAGGGGCTGCCACAAAGAAGAGGAGGTCAACTTATTCTCCAATGCACCTGAGCGTAGGACAAGAAGCAAGAAGCAATCAAGGAGAGAAGCAACCTGGAATTAAGGAGAAACTTCCAACAGTGACGACAATTAACCAGTGGAACACAGTGGTATAGAAATTTAATAAAATAAAATAAATAAATAAATAAATAAATAAATCCATTTTTTTTTTACTACCGGTTCTGTGGATGTGGCTTGGTGGGTGTGGCAGGGGAAGGATACTGCAAAATCCCCATTCCCCTCCCCCCACTCCTGGGGGAAGGATATTGCAAAGTCTCCATTCCCACCCCACTCTGGGGCCTGCCAGAGGTGGCATTTGCCAGTTCTCCGAACTGCTCAAAATTTCCCCTACCGGTTCTCCAGAACCTGTCAGAACCTGCTGGATTTCACCCCTGGTGGAACAGCTTGCCTTCAGAAGTTGTGCATGCCACTTGTGGCACTCACGACATACTGTAGGTTCGCCATCCCGGATATAGGTTCTCCTGCTTGAGCTCGGGGTTTGACTAGAAGACCTCCAATCTCCCTTCCAGCTGTATTCTGATTATTAACTGAGCCTTTTTAAGATTTCAAGATTGAAGAGCCGAGGTGGCGCAGTGGTTAGGGTGCAGTACTGCAGCTACTTCAGCTGACTGCTAGTTCAGCAGATCAGTGGATCAAATCTCACCGGCTCAAGGTTGACTCAGCCTTCCATCCTTCCGAGGTGGGTAAAATGAGGACCCAGATTGTTAGGGGGCAATATGCTATTTAGTATACTGTCTTTGGTGTAAGCCGCCCAGAGTCCTCGGAGAGTGGGCGGCATAGAAATATGAATAATAATAATAATAATAATTAGCCAAAATCTATCAACTCAGCAAGAGAGCTGGAAAGTGGGAGGCCGATCCAAACATTTGGCACTAAAACAGGTTAAAGGAAATCTCATTTTGGCTTCGGTCCCTGCAAGACCCGTCTCTTTGTGTGCATCTAAAATTAACAGACCGGAAGGGAAAGAGGGGTGGGAAACTCATGCATTATTTAAAGATTTTTGTTCTGGCTTGACCTGCAGCACGAGCTGACCCTGGCACGTCTCACGGGGGAAATCAGCCCCAGATCCTGCCCGGAGCCTCTCACCCAAGTAAATCTTGGAATAAACAGAAGAACAAAAAGCGTCTAGGTAGCTCCTAGACCTGGACTGGGGATAGTCAGGAAGGATCTTCTCTGTGCTGTGATGTCAAATATGCACAGCTGTCCTTCCAGGCACAGGGTTTCGGTAGAAGCAGCCAGAACGTTTTAAAAATAGAACTCTGTGGGTAGGAAGGAAAAAAAAAATAAGAACAATAACAAAAACTGCCAAAACCCTAAACTTTTCTTAAAGCATAAACAGTTTTTTTCTCTCTCTTGAAGGCTGCTATCAGCCGGAAATTTTTGCATCCCAGGTAGTTAGATTCTAGCAAAGCCAGATTTACAAGATGATAAACTTTAATGACCATGTGACAAGGTTGCTGCATTCTGTCAAATGTCTTAATTGGAGAAAATAAGTACTTAATTGTTGTATTATTTTAATGGTTTCTCTTATTTCTCTCCTTTTAGGATAGGAAGTGTTCCAAGGTGGCTTAAGACCACAGTGAAGTGATCTATTTCAAAATACAGCTAGTCCTCAACTTACAACAGTTTGTGACTGTTCAAAGTTACAATGCACTGAAAAAAGTGACTTATGGCCATTTTTCACACTTACAACTGTTGCAGCCTCCCCATGGTCACATGGACAAAATTCAGACACTTGGCAGCTGACTCATACTTATGACAGTTGCCGTGTCCCGTGGTCACATGATCCCCTTTTAAGACCTTCTGACATTGGGGAAGCCAGATTCACTTAACAACCATCTTACTAATTTAACAACTGCAGTGATTCGCTTAACAACTGTGGCAAGACAACTTGTAAAATGGGGCAAAACGTACTTAACCGATCTCTCACTTAGCAACATAAATGTGGGCTCAGTTGTGGTCGTAAGTCGAGAACTACCTGTATATCAACACATATGAATCCATCCCACAGGGCAGTTTCGGGCAGGAAGAAGCATCTAAGGTAAACCTATCCCAGGGAATGCACAAATAGGTGTGTTCTTTGTGGTTATGTGTGTGTGTGTGTGTGTGTGTGTGTGTGTGTGTGTGCATGTGTGCCCACGTGCAAAAGATCGTGCCTGTAGTTCTTCACTCAAACATCCACCCCTTTCATAAGCCTGCTATGAAAAGAGGAACAAGAGTTTGATTGTGCAGTCATGGCTACCATGTTGATTTCTTTACGGAAGAAATCTTGGTTCTCCAGAATCTCTTATCCTTCCCTCAGGACCCTCCTTCAATTCCCGCTGTCATAGGCAGAAGGAATAACCCTGACGAGCAGAAGGAAGAGCTGCAACCAAGACAATGGTCAGATAAAAGAAACCTGAATCTGGACCAGAAGTTGCGTGTCTGAGACAAGACCACAAGATAAGGGGAGGGAGGGGGGGAGTGCATTCAGACTTGCAAGATTTGGTGACAGTAACCTTATAATGAGAGTCCCTTTGGTGTAGTCATGGTTAAGGTCTCAGGCTAGAAACTGGGAATCCACATGTTTTACTCCCACCTCGGGCACAAAGTAGGAGCCTGGTTTAGCTCAACAGACAGAAACACTGTAATTTAACACCAGCTGTCTGCAATTAAAGTAAGATCGAATCTCGCCAGGCTCAAGGTTGACTCAGCCTTCCATCCTTTCTAAAGTAGGTAAATTGAGGACCCAGTTTGTGGGGGCAATAAGCTGACTTTGTATAAATATACAAAAGTATGAAGGCTATTGCTTAACGCACTGTAAGCCGCCCTGAGTCTCCGGAGAAGGGCGGCATATAAATCAAATTAAAAAAAAAAAAAGTTAGCTGAGTGACCTTGGGCCAGTCTTTTCCCCTCAGCCCTAGAAAGCAGGCAATGGCAAAGCACTTCAGAAATCTTGCCAAGAAAATTGCAGGGACTTGTTTGGGCAATCACCAGGAGTCAACACTGAATTGAAGGCACACACACACACACACACACACACACACACACAGGGAAAAAACAAAAAACAGAAAGCATCACCCTTATAATGAAAGTTGTATTAACATTCATAACTTTGGTTTTCTAGTCTAGTGTATTCGATTTAAGTCAGATCTTTATTACAGACACCTACATCTGGAATCTGCTATGGCATTTGAACAGGGCTAACATATGCTGAGAACTTTGATGGTTTAGGACTAGCTTCTAAACTTTGCCAAAGGGTTTCAGAAGTTCCAGGCTTCTTGGTTGGCCATGCCAGGTATAACTTCCCTATTACTACCACCTCATCAGGGTACCGGGATCTCTTGCTGGCTGGGCTGTATTGAAACCGACTGAAATGTGTATGCACACCCATATGTCCAAACACCCACACTGCACATCTGGTTCCGTACACTGTCCCTACTCAGTTCCAACAACATTGCTGGATTGTGAAGTCACTGTCTGCTGCCTCATCTTCATGGAGTTCAGTGCAATAGGTCAATGATGTTGGCAGAACAGCTCATAAACTTTACTAATTTGATTTTCCTCAGAACAGTAACTTATGGACCAAGAGAGAGAGAGAAAGAGAGGGAGAGAGAGGGAGGGAGGGAGGGAGAAAGAGGGGGTGAGGGAGGTGGATTCTTTTTCAATTGCTGGCATGGATTTATTGTTTTTTTATTTATCTAAAAACAAATAGTCATGCATGTGTGGGGTAATGGGAGAAGTCACTGTAGGACCAGATTTAACTCCTGATTTGAATGCCTGTAGTAGTTGGGGTTCGGGTTTCTTCTTTTAGAACAAGGAGGGAAGAAAAGGAGGGAATGAGCTATTCCTGCAGACAGTCCTGAAGGAGGAAACGCTCAAATCTTGGAGCACGATAAAAACATATCTGCACCCATTTTAACAGCCCTTCACTTTGTCAGATCATGCCCTTGTGTTACGGGAATCGCACACGCTGCAATCAGCAGGCAAGCGGAACACACAAATATTTCTGAAGGACGACGTGCTGAATGGTGTAGATACTCCTGTGGTGAGTGTACTTGTTCCTTTCATCTCACGGCCATGGAAGAGATGGGGGGCAGGCAGGAAAGAGAATGAAAGGATATTGACATCCGGTCTTATTTTTGAACTTCACAAGGCCGCCTTCTGTGGGAGACAACCACCTCTGGTCTAATCTGGCAAGGTTTTCCCTCTGTTGTATGGGGTGTTTACCAATTGAGCTGAGCTTAGTGGGTCCTCCCTGTTCACACAGCTGTCTGCCACTGGTTTTAAAGCTGACTTCCCAACCCTGGAGCCTTCCAGATGGGCTGGACTGTTATTCCCAGAATTTCCATCCGTCACGGACAAGAGTTGTAAAGCACATTGAGCCCACATTGGCAGTGGAAAATGAGCAGCACTGTTTGCATTTAAGTCAATTGAGTTGTCACCTTGGCATGGCAGGTTGAATCTGGACCATAAAAGAACCATTTATTTAGTTATTGCAACCCTCCCCAAAAGCTGGCAGACGTTCACACATGTAGGGCTGCAAATCTTCAGTAATATCAGTCATGAAGAATCAGAACCATATGTTAAGTTGCAGTTAAGATTTATTGCTCCACCTACATAGAATCTAGTCAATTAACATTCAGCACTAATTTGGTGCTAGTTAAGAATCAGTGGAATTCAAGAGGAGTTGGACTTAAACCATTGTGGGAACATAATGATTCTAGCAGTGGTGGAATTAACTTTTTTTTACTACTGGTTCTGTGGGCGTGGCTTGGTGGGCATGGCAGGGGAAGGATACAGTAAAATCTCCATTCCCTTCCCACTCTGGGGCCAGCCAGAGTGGTATTTGCTGGTTCTCTGAACTACTCAAAATTTCCACTACCGGTTCTCCAGAACCTGTCAGAACCTGCTGAATAGCACCCCTGGATTCTAGACTGATGACTTGCTTAACTCCACTCTCCAACTTTGCCTGCCCTTTGAAATCCTTAGAAATCCTCAGAAATCACTGAAGCTATCAGTCCTGCTAACACCCGCTCTTGTGATTATTCTTTGATTGAGGGCTTTCTATATTATGATTTTTATTTTCCACCAGAATGACCAATCTGTGAGAAACATATTGAAAGGATGTGGATTGTCTCTCAGCTCTGATTGGAAGAAGAAGGAAGAAAAATGATGGTTTTTATCAGATTTTAATAAAGTTGTGTTGGCGGTTGTAGCTTTCTTTGCACTGGCAGCACAAAAGCTCTACCTATAATGGGCAGATGTTCACAGTGAAGGAGCAGTGCTGAAGGAAGGCTTTCTGTTTGACTTTTATTCTACATTTTTGTAGCATTAATGGAGGCAAAAGCCTAGGATTACACATATTTAACCAAAACACCTTTAAATAGAGGAGAATGCAGCTCAAGGAGGAATGCCTCATCCTAAAGTGGGAGTATTTGCAGGGGAGAGGAGAGTCAAAAAAGTCAATATGGCCTCTGCAACCAAATGATGGAAGCCGTCACTCTTCCTGTGTATTCCTGTGATCAGCATTTTAATTCTTTTTGACACTTTTTTGACCCAAATATATAGTGTTTCTCAACCTTGGCAACTTTAAGAGGGGTGAACTTCAACTCCCAGAATTCCCCAAACAGCTTTCTTTTTTTCTTTCCAGCTGATTTCTACAAGGAGATTTTGATGCATCCATGCAGAACATTTTCTCTTCCAAGGGGAGACGATCCATTCTCAAGTGAATCGATTGCCTTTTGGGGAAATTTGGGTAAAAAAGAACTGTGGACTTGAGACTGTCTAATTAATCAGCTTGGCTAGCCATGTTCCTGACAGGGAATCCCCAGGATAAGGTCAAAGAATTCAAGATGGTGGCCACAACAGTATGATTGAAACCAGGGGTGAAATCTACTTACCTTCCCTACTGGTTCGGAAGTGTACACACTTCTAACCCCAATCCTTATCTTTGATAAACTAGTTCCCTCAACTGTTTCTCATTCAATTTAGCCTCCAGACTCCTTATCAGGAGGATCCAGATTGTTGGGGGCAATAGGCTGACTCTGTAAACCACTTAGAGAGGGCTGTATAAGCACTGTGAAGTGGTATATAAGTCTAAGTACTATTGCTGTCATGCTTCTTGCTCTTCTCTGCATATTTTCTAGGGTCCCAGCATCTTCTTAAAGTGGCCAAGGTTGAGTAACATTGGTCTAGATGAGAAGACTCACATCGTAACATTGCCAAGGTTGTAAAACACGGATCTAAACCAACAGTCACGCCTGCTTCAGATGGCTGGGAGTTGTAACCCAACTTCAGGAAACCAGTCATGTTGGATTAGGCTGGGTTAGGCATTTAAGAGGAAATGGAGGCAAAAATGCAGAAGTAGATCACACTAACCTGACCAGAAATAACATTTTCAACACTCCTTTGGGCTGTTGGTATTCGTTATGTTTTTTTCATCACTCACAGTCATGATAGAAATGTTCTTTGGGCAGCGAGATGTAATTGGTTTTGATACTTGTGCAGGTAACAAGGTTGTGTAGTGCCTAGAGGAGCAGCGCGACAAGAAAATGGAAAGATTTCAAACCTTCAGTAGATTTAGGTCTGTGCTTTGCTTCCAGCAGGAATTGGCAGGTCTGCAGATCCACGTGAAGGGAGGCTGGGAGGGAACAGAGCATGTGTTGTGTTAGGAAATGCCAGGGTTATTCTGTATAATTCTTTCCCCTGAGAACTTTGGGACGAGGCAAAACACAATTTTTTTTGCTACCCTGTTTTCTGCAGAAAAAACAATTGCAACCAGCCTGCCTTCCATGGAGGACCTGGATCCTGTAGGGGTCAGAAAGAGGGCTGAGAAAATATTTACAGACCCCTCACATCCTGGACACAAACTGTTTCAACTCCTCCCCTCGGGATACCGCTATAGGGCATTGCATGATAAAACAAGTAGACACAGAGACAGGTTTTTCTTCTGCTCCATCACCTCCCCCCACTGCCTCGCTTAGTGGCCATGGCACCAGTCCATCACTCAGACTCCTGCTTTGTTGCGGTGGTGATTAAGGAGAAGAAGTGGGCCAGTGATCTGAAGGAGGCTGCTGGAGCCGCTGGTGTGAAGCCAGGCTGTTGTTGCACATTGATGGCCTAGCTGCAGGGCCCTCTGGTAAATAGGTGCAGGATGCACGTGGCAGCTCAATATCCCCATCTTGCTTTGTCCTCCACCCCCCCCACTGCCTCGCTTAGTGGCCGTGGCACCAGTGCATCACATTGTCCTTCATCCCCCACCTTCTCGCTTCATCCTCCACCCCCACACCTCCTGCTCCATTGTGGCCATCAAAAAAAAAAAAGACCTCCCCAAAAATAAGCCCTGGTGCTTATTTTGGCAACCAAAAAATTGTAAGACTGGGTCTTATTTTTGGGGAAGCACGATAGTAGGGCTGTACTGCTATTATCCTTCTCATCTTCTCATCGTTCTCATGATTCTCATCTTTCATCTTTCCTACTACCTTCTCCTATTGGTATATTATGTTTTATTATTTGTTGTTTGTATCTTACAATTTATGTGTCAAGGTTCCAAGTAACATACCCATAGCAAACAAAACTATGAGGCAGGTAGATTCCTCAAAGAATAAGCTTATTGGATATGTCATATTGGCACTCTGACTATCCCCACGGTTTTCACTAATTAAAAGTAAAAGTTTTTCACTTTCTCAAAACACTCAGTCACATAGTAACCAATCGGGATACTGTCCGGTTGCTAGGTGACTTCAGACCCCTCCTTCCAAGCACCTGCAGAAATGTCCTTGGTTCCCAAGAGAAAGTATTTTGTTTTGATTACAACACCCCAACGATCTCTATTCCCCCCCCCCGTATCCCTCTTCTCCAGTGTGTCAGCACTTAAGTCTCAAAATGGCCCTAGTCAGGCCAGCTACAGGGTTGACATTATGATTTCTGATCTATATCCTGTCACTTAGTTGTTTGCATGTACACTGAGAGCTTCTGCACCAGAGAAAATTCCTTTGTGTCCAATCACACTTGGCCAATAAAGAATTCTACATCTAAAAAAACCCCTGCAAGATGTTCGGCAGAGAAATCCGACTCCTTCTATATCTCCCTGTGCCCTGCACTCATGCACAAAAGGCATTGCAACATCGGGTTCACCATTTTACAGATTTTGAAACCCGTCTGGGGGCTCCTGGCATCACACACACGTGAAGAAATGGATGTGTATTTTCAGTCATCCAGTTGTGCCTTCCATTTTGATGTCACTTGATCCACTTAGGGACATCCCCAAGCATTGCCATCTCTGCCAAGGGAGATCCAGCTCTACCAGCCCTGGTAAAAGTTTCATTCATTCCCTCAAATATCTCTATTTGTAACTTTGCTAGAAAGGTTTGAAAAGCTGTTTGGACTGCAGTGTGTATATATTCATTTATTAGATTTTTATCCCACCTTTATTATTTTCCATAAGTAATTCAAGGTGGCGAACATACCTAATACTCTTTCTTCCTCTTATTTTCGCCACGGCAACCCTGTGAGGTGGATTGGGCTGAGAGTGACTGGCCCAAGGTCACTCACAGGACTTTCATGCCTAAGGCAGAGCTAGAACTCAACATCTCCTGGTCATTGGCCCAAAGTCACTCAGCCAGATTTCATGCCTAAGGCAGGTCTAGAACTGATTCTCCTGGTTTCTAGCACTTTCTCAACTGCACCAAACTGGCTCTCGAGAGACATAGAGACTACCTTTCTGATAAACTCTTTGGGAATCTGATGTGGCCCAGTGGTTTTTTGTGATGCTTGGGGGGGGCATCTGGAAAACAAACTTGGAATTTAATAGAGCAGTAATGTTCCTTGCTGTTTATTAGCTCATAATTGCTAATTTTGTAGATTCCATTTACTGTGACTGAGAGATAGCATTACATTTTACTGACTCCTTTCTTCAGTTTTGTTTTGCTCTCCTGCTGGTGGACTAAATATGAGCATTTTTTTCTACTCCTCCCCTTCAACTCTTTCACTAATAAAGCTTTACCAAAAATTATTTCTGTAAAAAAATGGCAACTGATATATTTTTAAATCTTTTTTTGTGAGTAACCCACGATTTTGGTTCAAAATATGGCTGGCTCTTTATTTATTAAATTTATACACCATGCTTTTCACTGTTTGGGGTGATTGTAGATGGCTATGTAATTCCATTTAATATAGATAAATAAAATTCCAATTCCATCTTTTCAAAGTGAAAATGTGTCTCCTTCAGCTGCAGCTCAGCTCAGTCTGCTTGCTGAGATGTTTGTGGTGGGATAAATGTTGTGGCCCATTCAAAGGACCTCTTGCAAAGAGTTAGTTCTACGGGCAAAGAAAGATTGTCTCTTGCCCACTCAATGGCTTCATGATTGTCTTCATATTAACTCAAGAAATGGGATAATGGAGAAAATTTGGAACTTCTAGCTGAGTCATCTTCCATCTTTTAGACAGGTGAGATGACTTGGAGTTCACCACTTCCTCATCATCTCCAGCTGATGCCCCTGATCTGGCCCTTTTTAGTTCAAGTCTGAAACTTAATGTCTCTATCTTAATGTCATCTTCAGGGGATGTCAAAAAGCCAAAGTAGTGGGACCTTGGTGGTGTCTGAGCTTAGGTGTTTTCTTGAAGACATTTCATTACTCAGCTGGGTAGCATTATCAGTGCTAGAAGGGAGTCTGGTGTGTGGCGAGGAGGGGGAGTGGGGAGGAGGAGGAGAACAGCTAAGGGGGTTCTTTGTACTCTCTGAGCTTGGTTGTTTCCTTTCAGACATTTCATTACCTACCTAGGCTACGTCATCAGTGCTAGAAGGGAATGGGGTTTGCTCTCTGTTTATGTACTAGTGGCTTACCCTATCAGTGTTGGTGGGGGTGATCTTGATGATCTGATGATGTTTCCTATCTGGGCAATGAAACGTCTGCAAGAAAATAACTAATAACTGAGTACCAAGGGCCCCACAGTTCAGCCCCGAGCTACAAATATTTTCTTCTATTGTCATAGTCTCTGTGATTAAACCCCTGCTCCTTTATATGGGCACTTGGATCACATAGTTGCTTCGCCATGTTGAGTTTTGATTCCTCTCTGCAGATGCCCCTTTATCTAAGCACGGAATGAAACGAGGTTGAATAATGCTGGATGTGGAGCCATGCAATCAGCAGGAGTTGACTTGAGGCCATGTTTGCTAATCAAAACCAGCAGGCACCAAAGAGACCGTGATTTAATTTGTACATGTTTAAAAAAACCCAAGCCACTTGAATTCAATACATTGCAAAAACTAGAAACTCTGCTTATAGAGGCCATCTAGTGTGCTAGTTTTTGCTAGATTCCTGACATTCTAGATTTCTGAGTTATCCCATAGCATTTTCCTGAATGTTCCTTTTTAATAAGCTGTGGGAATCTTCTAATCTCCTTCAGCCTTTGAGAGAACCCTGAAGGGAAGCCAAACAGAGGCCTGCAAGTGAATGTCACCATGGCATGAGACTTTAACCAGAGAGCAGATCCTTGCTTCCTCTTCCTCTCACGTTTGCCTCACATCATGCTTTGTTGATGGTTGCACTATTGCAAAGATAATTTGTGACACCCTTGCTTGGGGCATCAACAGCTCAGAACAAAGTTGGCAAGTAGAACAGAGGAAAAGGTCAAAATTCTTTTCAGGGAGGTGGGGTGGAAAGCAGGGGACAATTTAGAAGTGTGTGTTTTATGAAGAGGCAAATTAACCTTTTGGGACTCCGGAAATCTATTCTGACAAAAGTTTTGCTTCGGGATAAAGGCTGCAGTCTAGAGAATGGAATGGGAGTAGACAGTTTTTCTGGCTCTGATGGCCCCTGAAGATAAGGGACAGCTACTTGATTTTGCAGAAGAGAGGCTGCCCCAGTTGCATTGTGGGTCTTGGAGAAGTCAAAGGCTGTCGATGAGGACTTTCGAGTTCCAGTGTCCAAGGCAAATGCAAGTAGATAATAATTTTTCTTCAGGTATCGCCAGCTTCTCTTTCTCTGGGATACTGTCCCAAGATGCCACTTAAAACCAAAGACAGATGTCCAATGGACCTCAATGCAGAACTACAATACTGTGGTTGCAACAATCCAGGTGACTACTAAACAGCAGCAAATTGTTAGGTTTATATATATTTAACAGAACAGAATTGGAAGGGACCTTGGATATCTTCTAGTCCAACCCTTAAGAGCCTTGGTGGCGCAGCAGACTAAAGCACTGTTAAGTGCTGTTAAGTAACACCAGCTGCCTGCAATTACTGCAAGTTCAAATCTCACCAGGCTCAAGACTGATTCAGCCTTCCATCCTTCCGAAGTAGGTAAAATGAGGACCCGGTTTGTGGTGGCAATAAGATGACTTTGTATAAAAAAGAACACCGCCGGGGGGGGGGGAGGGCGAAAGCCCTACTAAGCAGGTATATACAAAAGTATGAAGGCTATTGCCTAATGCATTGTAAGCCGCCCTGAGTCTCTGGAAAAGGGCGGCATATAAATCGAACCAATAAATAAATAAATAAATAAATAAACCCCCTGCTCAGGCAGGAAACACTACACCATTTTCAGACAAATGGTTGTTCAATATCTTCTTAAAGACCTCCAGTAATGGAGCACCCACAACTTCTGAAGCAAATCATCCCACTGATTAATTGTTCTGTCACAAAATTTCTCTAGTTCTATGTTGCTTCTCTTAATTATTTATTTTTTATACAGAAAATGTATATGGCCTCCATAAAACTCACTCACAGTGACTCCAGATAGTTTACAGGAGTCAGGCTATAAATTAAAGCCACATTGGGAGCTAAAGCCCAGTGAGAAGCTCAGGACCTGCATAGTTCTATGACTGCCAATGATTGTACTAGATTGGTTCATCCAGGAAAATGTAGTATAACCTGGAGAAGATCCTTCTACCAACAAATGGCATCTTAAGGAATAGTAGACTCGGTTCACCTTGTTGATAGAATAACAGAATAACAGAGTTGGCAAGAGGTGGCTTGCCCTTGTCCCCTTTGAGTTGAGAGAGACAGGCCCAAAATCATGATATTGTTCCAATATTGGATAGATTCCATTTGCAGCAGCTTAGTCCCAGTTACCTACACCACCCCCTCCTTACTAGATGTTTAGATGGTTGTGAAATATTTATCTTCAGAAAGGCAACTGGGAATGAGTAAGTATCTACTGAGAACTAGTTTGGTGTAGGCACGAAGGTAGGAAATGAGATTTGGAGTTCTTGTCCTTCTCTACACACAAAACCAACTGGATGACTTTGGGCCTGTCACTCACTCTCAACTCAAGGAAGAGGGCAAGGGCAAGCCACCTCAAAAAAACATTTTTTTCCAAGGAAATTGCAGGATTTGTCCAGGCAGTTGACAGAAGTCAAATCCAACTTGACATAAATAAGTAAACAAACAAACAAACAGGTTTTCCTGAATGATGGCATGTTGGAATATAGTTTCATTGTATATTTATGTAACAACTGCAATAGTATTCAGCCAGTAGATGGCAGGGTTTACAAGTTTAGATCTAGTTATATACTCTATGCTCTTTTGTTCTAAGAAGAGTTTCCTATGACAGTTAAGCAGAAAAGCACATGGTGACTGTACTCTTTGGTTGATCTATGGTGCTATATATAAACAGAATTTCTAACTTTATTAATAAATAGTAGCAATAAATAATGAGCTGGAGAAAGCAGCATTTGCATTTTATTATAGGTGGGTTTAATAGGTTGGGTTGAACCCAGCCTCAATGAGATTTATTGAGTGGCCCATGGGCACTCAACTGAAAACTGAAAAATGCTTTGGATCTCCAGAAAAGTGAATTCCAAGTCAGAGTTGTAGAAATTCACCCAGGACATCCCATGCCAACATTTGAAGAGCAGGCCAAACCAGGACAAAGAACACAAAGCAGGCATAGGCTATATAAATATAGAGTCCTTTTAATTTATATTTGGTTAATAATTACAATACATTTTTGACTACAGGAATAGAGCAGGTTCTTTTCAGTGCATACACTCTTCAGAAAGACAGGACTGGTTTTGGCAGAAGTCCTATGGAATTTGGAGAACAGGATTTTTGCCTAGTTCGTGCTTCCCCCCCCCCCAAAGTCTTATATTTTCAGACTTCCCCAAATGCCGAGCTGATTTTCAAGGGCACCTGGGGTGGGGTGAGGTGGGGAGGCCCCAAAGGTAAATATAATGGCTACGACATTGCAATCAAAGACCCAAATTTAACAATTGCGAGAGCCGATTATTAAATTTTCTGAAATGTTGCCAGCCAGTTGGGAGCACAGCTGAACCACGATGCCCAATGTGCCAATTAGCTGTTCAGCCATTACGGGTAGTCCTCAGCTTACAACTATCCATTTAGTGACCATTTGAAGTCCATTTGATGGCACTGCAAAAAGTGAGTTATGATTGGTCCTTGCATTTACGACCGTCACAGCATCCTCACAGTCATGTGATCAAAATGTGGGTGCTTGGCAGCTGGCACATATTTATGATGGCTACCACATCTGATAACCATTTGCGCCCTTCTTAGCTGGCTTCTGTCAAGCAAAGTCAATGGGGGAAGCTGGATTCATTTAATGACTGATTCAATTGCAGTGATTCACTTTGCAACTGTAGCAAAAAAGATGTGTGTAAAACTGGGTGTGACTTGCATAACAGCTGCCTTGCTTCCCAATGAAAATTCTGCTTCCAACTGTGGTTGTAACTTGAGGACTACCTGCATAGCAGCGGCAACAGCTGCTTGTTAAACATTTACTAGCATACTAATGGCCCCGCCTCTTTTTTATGGGCAACGTGGGTCTGATAGCTGTGAAAAAAAAGAGCAAGGCTTCAGTTGCACAGGCCTGGGTGCCCTCTTCATGCCCACAGCTTGCAGGCACCCCTTCCAGTGAAGCCAATTGTGTGACTTGTAATTCTACCATATTAAGAGGGCATCAGCTTGGGGAACGCTTGAAGAAAGCTGGTCCAGTATATAAAGAAATATCAGCATGAATAAAACAGAATTCCCTTGAGTAATAACACAAGTTGAATTAATTATCCAGGGTGGTGTTTAGGAATGCTTTGAAACAAATATAGAGCTGCCTAATCAATTCTGAATATATTTAAACAAGTTTGCAAAGGCCAGCAGCCTTCTGAAGTCATAAAGAAATCCCTGAGTTGTATTTAATAAATCAAAATATACCTCTTTGGGCATCTGGTTCTTTTTTTTAGACCACAGAAGTATCTTTTGTCCTTCAGTCTGATTCCCAACTCAAGATTCATGTGACCCTTTTCACTGTTTTCAGAAAGTGCAGTAACATTCAAACCTGAATTTCGACCATAAAAATCAAAATGCCCAAAAACTTAGGGAGGAAGTGATGGTGGCAAATGTCCTTTTTGTGTAACACCCAGATTGGTGACACTTCTGAACTGGTCCCTGGCCTGCAAATAGAGGTGAGAGATTCTGACAAAAAAAGACCCTTGGGTCAGAATTTCCTGCTCTTTTATAGTTAAAAAGGGATATACATAGTTAAATAAATGCAATGCATATTTATACTGAATTGATTCTACCTAATAAACACTATGAACATAGGTTAAAATCCAGCCAAAATTAAGCAGTTTAGCAATCTTTTGTGGGAAGGATTGGCAGAAATTTGCATCTGTTCCAGTGGAAATCAAAGGACTTGGTCAATGTGGGCTTACTCAGAAATAAGCACCAAGGAACACAAAGCAATTGGTTTCCTTTTCAATTTGCACAGGATTGCAGTCCAAAGGGCTTGATTTTGGCTGGGTTTTATTACATTTAGAGATATTTCAACATTATTAGAAAAATACTGTAATTAAATTAATGGGGCAGGAGAAAGATGAGGGAGAAAGGTGAGGATAAAGAATATTAGTAAATAAAATACGAGGAATACAGATCCAATTCTGCTGATGAAAAACAAAATAAAATTAGACTTATCTATGCAATTGAAAAATCACATCCATGCAGAGATGCTTGGCAGAGAGTCTGAATGGGCCTTTGGTCTTTGGAAGAAGCAGAGAACATCCTTTCCCCCCAAAAGTCCAGCTTAGAAAAAGCTTCTGGAGTTATCTCTGAGCTTTAGATTCAGTGCTTAGACCTCTGCAAATGCCATTTGCCAACACAAGGATTCCTCTACTGTCCATGGGCATATTTGATATTGGCATATTTGGTATGGAGAATGAAGAGCAATGAGTAAAGGGACATGTTAGGAAGGAAGGGAGGGAGGGAAGGAGGGAGGGAGGGAGGGAAGAAGGAAGAAGGAAAAAGAAAGGAAAGAATCGGATGGAATGAGAAGGAAGAAGAAACAAACAGATGAAGCAAAAAGAAGGAAGGAAGGAAGGAAGGAAGGAAGGAAGGAAGGAAGGAAGGAAGGAAGATTGAAGGAAGATGTTCCTATTTGTGATGGCTATAAGTGCCACTGATCTTAACAGACGGAGAAATCACTGAGACTGCCGATGCACAAATGCAGCAGCCCCGTCTTCAACAGCCCATTAGCATCCATTTTGCACTGGGAGGGGTTAAGAACCCCTTCTTCCCCCTCAAGAGCCTTGGAACCACATCCCCAGGGGACCTGACTGGTCCTGCCTACTTTGGAAAGTGACCCTTGACATGAAGTTTGAATCCTGTTTTGGCTCTCAAGCTGATTGATCCAAGGAGCAGACTCCTGGCTGAGAAAATGCAGCAGTGGCAAGAGTTATGCATTTCCCCAAACCACGGTGTGCTTTAGTTTCACCTACATGTGATTTGTGAAGACAGATCTTGAGTCACCTGTGTGTGGTTGGGATGCCAATGACTGCCTTCCCAAAAATTTGGAAATGATTTGGAAAAGTGGCTTTTTTTTTTCCAGATATGACAAATGGATCAGCAGCTTCACAACCGTTTGGTGTCCTTCTCTGTTTCTTTAAAAGGTCTGATCTTCCAAAATCACCAAAGGAAGCTTTTCCAAGCTACACTGACTGGGGGATTCTGGGAGTTGAAGTTCACAAATCTCACCCACGTTGAGGAACACTTAATTTTCTTAATTTTTAGGCTACGTATGTTTAAAAAAAAAGGCACTTGACATATTTGGCTGGCAGCTGTATTTCCCTGTCTTTTTGGTTATATAGCTATTGCTTTCTAAAGTCAAAGTTTTTAAGGCACACTCCAGCTACACTTTCTTTGGTCCCAGTAATTTACTCAAAGACTTAGCATATACAAGCAAAACTTTCCCACACTTACTTCCATTCCCGTGTCAGAGAGTAAGGCACAGAATCAAGGGTCTGGGGGTGTTACACGTATAAGCAATATTTTTAAGTGGGGTATTTTTATATACTGGAATTGTGGGGACTTTCCACAAAGGGGAAAACATGTGTTTAACTTGTTATATAAAGTCTGGGAGTAAGGCACAGAATCAAGTGATTTTAAAAAAAGGTCCAGAATGTGGTCATGACTACCTGAGCAATGCCTGACCACCTTGATGTTTTGGAATATCCTTCTGTCCCCAACAGTTCTGCACAGGATCCAAATTAATTTGCACCCAGGTGAACTTGGAACATCTCAGAAGATGTGAAATGTAGGTTATATTGTCCTTTTCCCACTGATCCTGTGACTAAATTATCGGCAAATTAAGTGCTTTTCAAAGCAAGCCTCTTTTTACTCTAACCTCATTGCTTCTTACAGCAGAGAGGGGGAAACAGGCATGCTTCTTCTCCATGCTTAAGTGATGCTCGCTGCACTTCAGAAGGGTTTCTCTTGCGATCCATTAAGCAGAAAATATTCCTAGCTTAAGCGTAGCAGCTTTGGGGGCTAGAGAACAAGCAAGTCTTACACCTCTTTTAAGAAGCTTCTATATTCACAGTTTCACGGGGTCTGACTTTCCTGGCCCACTAAAACACCTGAGGTTTTTTCTTTCCTGTGCTATATTTTTTCATTATTATTGCATTTAGTTGTTTACACTGTTGCACAACAAGCAAAATTATCTACACGAAATCTTTCTCAGCCTCATTCTGCAAGTTGGTTGTGTGCCTAAATATAACTTGCAGTTTGAGGGAGTCTCCATGCATGTCTCTGTAGGTCTGTTCTGGCAGATTGCTTTAGGTTCTGCAATAAATCTGAGTTTCAGGCTAGGTTTTGATCGCTATACATAAAATATTGAAGATAATTATCCCTGGATAACAACCTCGGTGTTTAGAATGGAATTTCCCTATTAAAAGGAACCAAAAAATATATAGGGAAAATTGGTGTGCAGTCCAGAGCTTTAAGAGAGGAAACCCCACCGAATAAAAGGTAGACTGCAATGACCACGGCATTCAAAAAATATAAATTCAAGGGGAAGGTTAGGAAATAAAAGCCAGAGAGCTTGAAAGGCAGTCTTCAGAGAATTCCCACTTGCACTTGCACACTGGGGCTAATGTACATTTGACTTCAAGGTCTGGCTTCTCCGCTTAGGACAGGATTTCTATTAAGCAAGAAGAAAACCGGGAAGCTGGCTTGGAACACTGCATGGTCAGAGATGCAAAAGCTGGCGGTCCCCCCAGGGCTGGTTGGCTACACTGGAGGAGCCGAGTACTGGATCACAGAGTTATAATCAGGAGGTGGGCTGTGGCATTCCAGGCTGGCATCCATCGGCAGAAGAATGGAGTCTTCCATCAGGTCATCCTCCACCGGAACGGTTGGACGGTACTTCACCGATTCTCGCTCATGCTCATTGAACACAGATTCCTTGCTTTTATTGATCGCTTTCCTCCTGTGAGAAGATCCAGAAGAAAACCAGTAAAGTTGGGTTCAAACCCCACAGTAAATCACAGTGCGGTTTGCTGGAGGTTGGCTGAATGGGTCATGTGAATTTAGTCACTGAAGTTTATAAATCATGGCTTATATAGCAGGGATGTCCAGAACAGAGTTTCTCAATCTTGGCAACCTGAAGATGGATGGACTTCAATTCCCAGAATTCCTGAGCCAGCCAAGGTTGGAGACCCCTGGTTTATAGCTTAGTGTTATGTGAATCCAATTAACACTGAATCATTCAGTCAACTGGAGCTTAGTGCAAAATGCAAACCCAGGAACAACAAGCAACTTGTAGCTGTTCATAGTCATGGACGATCACAAGATTATATGCCTTTCTAAGGAGGCTTGTGTATGTGTGTGTATACACACACACACGCCATCTTCAGTTGCCACCTTGCATCTAGGCATGACAGCATCTGTCAGCTCATGTTTAACGATAACTTTTTAAACAAAGGCATTGAATATTTACTCTCCAGTCAAAGGGATGACAAGCTTGAGCAAAAGAAAGTCCTATGATTGACCACCTCTGGCAGACATGAAATGCAATTAGTTCCTAAAAAATATTCTTTTCTCCAGAGATACATCCTCTGAAACAAAAACCCTCCAGCATCTTTTTAACATTCTGTATTTGCTGACATTTCAGTCGATTCTTGCCTTCCTGAGCAGTTGACCCAACATTTTATCTCTCAATGTTCTTTCCGTGGCATTAAACCTTTTCTTCTGCAGTTCTCAAACTCTTTTGATTCAGAATGTGCTTTTGGAGACAGGCCTTAAATGACTGATTTCTGTGTACAAGAATCATTCTAAAACATCTGGAAGATCCTAGATTAGGGAAAGCTGCCAATTGTTTTAATTTAGCAATTGATTGCAATTAATTTTTTTTGTTTTCTGATGTTTGTAAACAATAAAGGGGAGGGGAACTTTGCCCTGCCCAATTTTCACTTCCACTGTATATACCAGTATTTGATTTTACCATGCTCTTACATTTCTGTAAGCAGCAGGCAAGTGGATGAATTATACCTTAATGTTTTTTTTAAAAAAACAGTTCCTTACTTACAGTATATGGCACAGAGGAAGACAAGGGCATATGTGCAGTTTGTAGCACCCCTTGATTTCATGTATAAATGAAATTTATTTATTTATTTATTTATTTGTTTATTTGTTTGTTTGTTCAACTTGTATGCCGCCTTTCCCCAAGGACTCAGGGCGGCTTACAATGCATTTAAAAACCATATTTAAAACATTAAAAGTTAAACCATTAAAAACAATTAAAACCCATTCACACCATTCATGGCCGGATCTCGCCAGATCGCAACAGCAAGATCAACGGCCCCAGGCCTGCCGGAAGAGCCAGGTCTTCACCGCTTTTCGGAAGGCCAATAGGGTGGGGATGGTCTGGACCTCAGGAGGTAACTGGTTCCAGAGAGCTGGGGCAGCCACAGAGAAGGCCCTCCCCCACGGGCCCGCCAGCTGGCATTGTTTAGCTGACGGGACCCGGAGGAGACCAACTCTGTGGGATCTTACCAGTTGCTGGGAGCTATGTGGTAGAAGGCGGTCTCGAAGATAGCCTTGCCCTGAGCCATGTAAAGCTTTAAAGGTAATAACCAACACCTTGAATTGTGACCGGAGACCAATAGGGAGCCAGTGCAGCTCGTAGAGAATTGGTGTAATGTGGGTGTACCTAGGTGCACCCATGACAGCTCTCACGGCTGTGTTCTGGACCAACTGTAGTCTCCGAACACTTTTCAAGGGTGAACTGAGGATATTTTATCCATTATATTTGACTGATTGAGCAATTTGTTACTATAACAAGGAAATATATGGCAGAATTTTTATAATTGGTTAATTCAATTTCCTTAAAGGTTACAGCATGCCATTTGCAAAACAAGTTCTCAGAGATTAGATATGCTGATGTTGGGAAATGCTCAGCCTGGCAGGGAGGAGGGATCAAGCAAAGAGATAGTCTGTCAAAGGGCCAGAGATGGCCTTCCCTGAATTCACTGGAATCTTATCTAATTGTTCCCAAGAGAAGGCTGCCAGACTGGGGAAATTCCTGTATTATAGGCAGAACATAATAAAGTAGTTAGTTTGAATGCTGCAAGTACGGGCCCGGTTAACAGAATAACAGAGTTGGAAGGGACCTTACAGGTTTTCTAATCCAACCCACTGCTCAAGCAGGGAATTTTATACCATTCCACACAAATGGTTGTCCAATCCCTTCTTAAAAACCTCTCGTGTTGGAACAACCACAACATCTGAAGGCAACACATTACTCCGGTTAATTGTTCTCACTTTCAGGAAATTTCTCCTTATTTAGTTCTCTTTGCTTCTTGTCTGGCCTTCTGGTGCTTTGGAGAAGAGGTTGACCTCCTCTTCTTTTTGGAAGCCTCTCAAAAATTGGAACACTGCTATCATGTCAGTATGAGTCCGTCTTTCCATTAAACTACTAGACATTCCCAATTCGTGCAAGTCTTCTTCATATGTTTTAGCTTTCAGCCCCGTAATCATCTTTGTTGTTCTTTTCTGCACACTTTTCAGAGTCTCTACATCTTTTTTATAATATGGTGACCAAAACTGGATTCAATGACAAAACTTTCTCGTGGTCACAAAAAGTGACCATAATAAAATATTTAGCTTGAAATCTACAGGTGTGGGTGGGGTCTGGATGTTTGCAACGGACAGCTGACTAGTTAAAGGATAGTATAATGAGGCTGAGTTTTCGCTCTTATCACTTCTTCTTTCCAATTTTCATAGTTGGCATTTTCATTCCACCAGCATCACATGCCACAGCTGGTTTATATCTCTCCAAAAATACAGGAAGATAAAAAGAGGCCCTCTTGCTTACATGCATACCACTCCATAAACACCACTGCATGAAAATGCTTAATTTGATGGACTGAGCCTTTACAGGGATGCTATGTAGACAAAACCAAAGTCTAGGTTGCTGTGAGCACATGAAGCTACTATTCAAGGAAAGAAAAAGGCCAAAAGATTTAGCTGTTTCAGACAGGTTGAATGTACAGTTGAGTGAATGTAAGCTCAATCAGCCTCTATTCTTCAATGGCCCAGAGAAGAAAGACCTAAACGGAAACTATCCTGCAAAGGTGACAACCAAGGCATAAAATTTTTGGAGTTTGGTCCAAAAATTAACAGAATAACACACACACACACACACACACACAAACCAGCAGAATTTTGATGGTCCCATGGTGGTTACCATCTTTGGTTTGTTGACCACAGTCTGCAAACACACTTGGTGGCAACTGAAGAGCCTAGGTTGACATCAACTTGCAAAGCCCCATGTCTAATAATTGCTCAGTTTTGTAGTGAAAAGAAGGCAGATGTGTTAATTAGGAGACTGTGATAATTTAACCTCAAGTTAAATGTAGTAGATGGTGCTACTATTCCAGAATATAAAGAAAGCTCAATCATGTTTGTGCATTCTTAAGAGTAAGGTCCAACTGGTTCAGAGAAACCTGACCCTAAAGAAGGGTGTATTTAATAGATTTCCTCAAACTGAAAAAAAATATCCCATACAAAAAGAGCTTTAATTCTTGCGAGAAGCCAGATGGCTCTCCTTGTTCTCTACAGCAGAAGTTAGACCTTGTGCTGGAATTTGTCTGATAATAACTGCAAGAAATGAGCTGCTGGGACTGATAAGATAGTCCTCGATTTATAATGGTTCGTTTAGTGACCATTCAAAGTTACAATGGCACTGAAAAAAGTGATTTAGGACTATTTTTCACTCTAGTGACCGTTGCAGCATCTCCACGGTCACGTGATCAGAATCCAGTTGTTTGGCAACTGGTTCATATTTATCTCACCATTCCTGTTTCCCACGGTCATGTGATCCTCTTTTCCAACCTTCTGACAGACCAGGTCAATGGGGAAGCCAGATTCACTTAACGACCATGTTACTAACTTAACAACTGCAACGCTTCACTTAGCAACTGTAGCAAGAAAGGTCGTAAAATGGGCCAAAACTCACTTAACAAATTTCTCACTTAGCAACATCAATTTGGGGCTCAATTGTGGTCGTAAGTTGAGGACTACTTGCATAGGTGTTTAATGAGGTGTTTGGGGAAGTTTTCTTTGCAAGAGAAAGGGTTTTAAATGCAATACTATGGTAGTTATGAGTCTAAACTGGAATTTGCTAATGTGAACGGGGCTGTTAAAATCACTGCCAGCCCCACCATCATCTGTAACTCAGAACAAATAACAGGATACAGAAATTGACCGGAATGCATTTTTGAAAGTAGTAGCGTTAATGTAAAATGACCAGAATGTTGTATGGTAGTTGGATAAGTTTTATGTGTTAATTTCAGCATTCTTCCAGGTTGAAATTATGTGAAAACCTTTAGTACAGATAGTCTGTCAGGGTTCTCTGACTTATTCAACTTACTCCACTTACTCCACTTACTTACTTGCTCCACTTAGTTACTCCACTTAGTTACAACCATTCATTTAGGGACCATTCAGAATTAAATGGCACTGAAAAAAGTGACTTTTGACCATTTTTCACACAACTGTTCCAGCATCTCAATGGTTGCATGATCAAAATTTTGATGCTGGGCAACTGGCATGTATTTATGATGGTTGCAGTGTTCTAGGGTCACGTAATTACCTTTTGTGACCTTTTGACAAGCAAAGTCAATGGGGAAGCCAGATTCACTTAATGACCACATTACTAACTTAACAACTGCAGTGATTCACTTAAAAACTGCGGTAAGAAAGGTTGTGAAATGGGGCAAAACTCATTTAGCAACGGTCTCGCTTAGCAATAGATATGTTGGGCTCAATCCTAGTCGTAAGATGAAGACTATTCATTAAGTACAGTACATGGTCAAGAGATAGACAACTGAGTTCCTATCAGAATCTTCCTTGATTCCCACAGGTTCCCACCAGATATAATATTTAAAGACTTCTTTTACTTAAACATAGATAAGAAGTCAGTTTAGA